GTTCAGTGAACATACCCCTTCCCACCTCCACAGCCTCATTTCTTACCACTCTGAGATTTTTAGATTCCAGGCCCTCAAACTTCATGTAAATCCTCCCGTGCTGTGCTGCCTTCACCCTCTTGCCTTTGCTTGGGCTGTTTTCCTGCAACCTGGGCTGTCGCCTCTCTTTTCCTTCTTATTCCCAGTCCTGCCTTTCACTTTCACCTGACTATCCCGATGCTCTTTTCAGACCCAGCCGGTCATCACTCTCCTCAGCTTTCCATGCCTCGCCTTCCCTCCCCTGTCCCAGCTGGACAGATGCTGCTCCTTCCTGCCTCCCTGCACATTTCATTATCAGTACACTCACCGCCATCTTTTACCATCTCTTCCTGGACCTAGCTCCCATATGAGACTCCAGGGTCTAAGAGACAGGGAGTGTTGATCTTCAACTGACTGATCTTTCTTCAGCTGACCTCCTCACTACCACCCAGGGACTCACTGACTACTCATTAAATGAATCAGTACCCACTGCTCTCAAGTCAGAGTGCCTGCCCCTGCGACTTGCAGTTTGGGCATGTATTTGAATTCATTGGGTTTTCCTCTGTCCTCCGTGTCTTGCCATGTATATCACATCTCTTCTGGTTGATGGTCTTGAGCCTCTAGTGTGTCAGTTCTGGCTGCTCTGAGGATGACCGTGTGTGTCTTTCAGGACGCAAATTTCATTCATGACACATAGCCTAACAGACCATCCAAAACCTGCCCTTCACATTTGGAAAAAAATCTGTTGAGTAATTTTTATAAATTATAGAAACTTAATCATATTTATATAGATTTGTGTTACCACTCCAGTGTCAAGCAGTGTGCCTTGCATGTAGTAGATGCTTGGTAAAATATTTGAACAAATGATACACTAGATAGATGACTCAATGATGTGGTGGTAAGGGTGCATAGTCATAACTTTGGTAACTCTTTGAGAATACGTTTTCATTTTTAATGAGATTGCATTAAAATGGATTCAGATTCTTATTATGCTATAACTGGTATGGCGAGGAGTTAAGACTCTTTACATCTCCGATCTGATTCACAATGGACAGGGTGTCATTGTAGATTTACATCTAGTGTGAGGACCATGGCTTACTAGTTATAGTAACTAGGAAGTTACATGGTTATAGTTTTCCACAAAAACTTTACATTTCTTGGCTGGCTTATGCCTGTAATCCCAGCACTTTGGGAGTTAAAGGCAGACGGATCACGAGGTCAGGAGATCAAGACCATCCTGGCTAACATGGTGAAACCCTGTCTCTACTAAAAATACAAAAAAATTAGCCAGGCATGGTGGCGGGCAACTGTAGTCCCAGCTACTCAGGAGGCTGAGACAGGAGAATGGCGTGAACCCAGGAGGTGGAGCTTGCAGTGAGCCGAGATCGTGCCACTGTACTCCAGCCTGGGCAACAGAGTGAGACTCCATCTCAAAAACCAAAAAACAAAAACAAACAAACAAAATAACTTTACATTTCTCTTTGAAAAGGCCCAATGATGAGAACCAAAGGGGCCAAATGATTAGTCTGTAAGTAAACCTAAGGATAGTTTTAAAATGGGAAAAGTTCCATGCCCTTGATGGTTTCGTTATCAGAAGGATGCCTTGTTATACAATATGTCTTCCCCATGGGAAATTAGGTCCTCTTAGAATTCTTCCATCTCTACTGCAGTCCCACAACACCGCCGAGAGTAAAGATAATAAATACACACTGGCAGTGTCTTTGACCTAAGATATGCCAGAAATGCAAGGCTTTGGTAAAGGGAATCTTAGCATATTTCCTTACAGACAAGGATAGCTATTATTATCTAGCAAATATCATTAATATTACTAAGAAAAGTACACATTGACTCACTCATCCAAATACTGACTACCCGATGTGTATAAGACAATGTGGGATTACATAGATTATATAGCCTAGTAAAAATTAAAGTTATTTTATTTTATTTTGTTTTCTTTTGTTTTGTTTATTTTTTGAGACAGGATCTGACTGTCACCCAGGCTGGACTGCAGTGGTGCGATCTCGGTTCACTGCAACCTCCTCCTCCTGGGCTGAAGTCATTCTCCCACCTCAGCCTCCCAAGTACCTGGGACTACAGGCATGCACTACCACACCCAGCTAATTTTTTTTGTATTTTTTATAGAGATGGGGTTTCACTATGTTGCTGAGGCTTGTCTTGAACTCCTGAGCTCAAGCAATCCGCCCACCTTGCCTTCCCAAAGTGCTGGGATTATAGGCGTGAGCCACTGTGCCTGGCCTAAGGTTTTTCAAAAAAATTAATACAAAGTAGAAAGTGATGATAGTGGCCGGGCACAGTGGCTCACACCTGTACTCCCAACACTTTGGGAGGCAGAGACTGGAGGATTGCTTGAGCCCAGGAGTTTGAAACCAGCCTGGGAAACATAGGGAGACCCTGTCTCTACAAAAAAAAAGTTTAAAACAAACTTAGCTGGGCATGGTGGCATGCACCTGTAGTCCCAGCTACCCAGGAGGCTGAGGCTGGAGGATCACTTGAGCCTAGGAGGTCAAGGCTGCAGTGAACCATGATCATCATGCCACTGGACTCCAGCCTGGGCAATAGAGCAAGACCTTCTCAAAAAAGAAAAGAAAGAAAGTGATGATTGTAATAGAACAGGCTTATTAGCCTGTGAATTAACATGCAGAATTTGCAGTTTTCAGACCATTTTGATTGGTAAAGTTTTATGTGATCTTCACAAACACCAATTTAGGTTAGACCTGTAATACATTCCCTGGTTTTACAAATATGAAGAAATACATATATTGATAATGTTTATTGATAATTTTTATGCTTTTATCTAGCTTTTTATAATCAGAGAAGCATGAAAAGAATCATAAAAATTTGTTATGGTTAGTACGGATAGATTTTCCACTGGAAAAGATTTGAGACAAAACTAAGAATGGCATACATCTGACCAGGCGTAGTGGCTCACGCCTGTAGTCCCAACATTTTGGGAGGCCAAGGTGGGTGGATCACTTGAGGTTAGCAGTTCGAGACCAGCCTGGCCAACATGATGAAACCTCGTCTGTACTAAAAATACAAAAATTAGCTGGATGTGGTGGCAC